ATTGGTGAATTATGTGGGTTTGCAATATCTGTATCTAATTCATCAATTCTCGTGTAATTTGTTGCAACCGCCATATCAAAGAGGAGTATTTAGCAATGTCAAAGGGAAATATCCTGATTTTAATTCGACGGTTATGGATCTCCATACTCAGTATTGTAGAAGAGCGTGCCAGGGACGGTTTATTAAACTTATTGAAGTAAATGTTAATTCTAACTGTGCACCATGTTTTTGTGATGAACAATGTTACCAATATGATGATTGCTGCCCGGATAAAATTCTTTGGGCACCAATTTCCAGAACCAATTTGTCTATCGTTAAGTCAAGCTGTATTCTAACTAAGCATAGCCTTAACTGGACACGATTTTCAAAACTTGTCGACGCATGCGCTCCGACCTACCAGGGTCTTAACACGATTTCTGATTGTTTGAATAATTCATACTTGCATTGGACAAACATTAATCCAGTAACAGACCCAAGCACTAATGTAACTTACAAAAATAAATATTGTGCCATTTGTAATTATGTGGACGTTATGGAGAATTGGAAAGCAAGGACAAAATGTCGAAGCCAGAAAGACTTTGGCAATTATAGCAACTCCGAAGAAATATATTCTAGTGTGTTGAGAAATCCGAATTGTTTTATATCCTTCGAACCACCTACAATATACATTAAAGATAGGTCTTGCGTTCCAGAGAAGAAAATAATTCATACAACGTGTAACGAGACTGGGAAATGGCCGAGGCAATTATATGACCCAAATGTTGTGCGAGCTTGTCAGCTTTATACGAGTGTTGTAAGAGGACAATATAAAAATATGTTTTGTCAAATATGTAATGAGGAATACATAGCTTGGTCGACTCTTATTGATGATAATTCTGATATGGAATTTGCACAGTTCGGTTTAAGTCTCTTATTGGATTTTCGAGATGAAGGTTCTAGGGGCGTAATTCCGAGGAACCAACATAACGACAAAATTTCAAATCATGAATGTGAACGAAACCAGCTCATGAGTCCAATAACGGTAAGTTTCAGTTGCGAAAAGAGGCCAAAAGACGTTCACATAGCTAAGTGATTAATATTTTAATGCCATAGTCCCTACCACAAATTATTACAGTGATATCGTGTGTATTTATTGGGATTTGATTGAAGTGTTTGGAGTTTTAGACATAAACAACAAGACTGCATGTATGTATGTATGTACATGTATGATATTAATGTAGGCTACTGTAATTAGTGTTGGCCTGTCTCGGCAATACGCGTGACAAAAACTTTCAGTTGCGGCTGGTATGGGATTCGTCGACAAGCCTATTTTGCTAACCCTCATTTTGTTCATAGGCAATTTTGATTTCTTCAAAATAGAGCTATGTGAGTAGTCTCCAGCAGTGAACTCATATGACATGTACATCCACGTATATTTCAGCCGTCAGGAGTGGGTATGTAGTAGGCATATTCCTGCCGATCTCTAAAAACACCCCACGGACGGTGGTAGAAACTCACCCATCTCCGCCTCCTACCCTGGAATTTAAAGTCTGCCAACCCATTCAAAATGTAGTTCCCGCGCCACTGAAATTACATTTTGATTGGACCCGAAGCAAACGGATCGCATGATTGTCCTTTTAGAGACATTTACGGCAAGTATTTAGATCATGTGTTGGAATTACATCCGTTTCTATTTTCTTTTTTGTATGTTTCAGTGTAAATGTGTGAAGAAAACATGTTCTGCTGAAGAAACTTTGGTAGATGGGCACTGCCACCCATTGGTTACCAAATCTAACTTTTATGGATATGATGTTTGTGTTTATGTGGAGGGAACTGTGGATAAAAGTAATTACTTTGAACACGGTCCGTGGCTATTCCTCAAATGGGGCACCTTGACGGATATAGTCACAGAAAAATATTTTACGCCCATAGATATTCAACTATGCCATGACGGGCTTGTACATCTAAAAACGGAAGTTGTAGTTAAGATATTCTTTACATATGACGTAGACATTGGTGAAAAGCAGAGGGAACTGTTACAAAAAGTATATGAAGCGGGTGCAGAGATGGAAACATTTGGGTACAATATAACAACTCGTGTTGGACGAACATGTAAGCCCATTAATACCCAAATGGAACTACAATTTATCCCGTTGTGTTCCCCTATTGGGACTGAACCATACAAAGAAAGAATCCTACCGAGACCCGACGTCGCTTCTCTGATACCAAATATTAAATTTATTCAACTGAATAAATTAATGACGTGCACAAAAGTTACTCTGAATTCTGGTGAGTTCAAACTAGACAATAAGACTTTAAGGCTTTTACACAATGATATCATTTTAGTAGATGGGGAATTTGAAGAGATGGACGAGGGTTACATTAACGTTTGCATCGAAGACTATATTCACGATACATCTAACGACTCGTGTTTAAAAATGTCTGACCAAATTATTAATAATATTAATACAGATATGTCTACTGCCTTGGGACTTACCTCCGTAGTATGTACATGTATTTCATTGCTATCTCTCCTGATAACCTTTATATTTTATTGCACACTGAAGGATATAAGGGATGAAATAGGGATTAGTGTAATGGGACTTATTGTGAATCTTTTCATTGCTCAAGCTTTGTACGAATTTGGATTAGAACTTCCGCCAAGCTTTGGTTATACATTGCTCTGTACGATTATTGGGATCTTAATACATTACTTTTGGTTATCAACAGTATTTTGGATGAACGGTTGCACCGTAGTCTTGTTTTTTAAATTATGTTACCCGCTTCAGTGCCGTCGATTTAACAAAATGTTTATTTTCAAACGGTGCCTTTTGTACTCAATTCTATCCCCATTGTTAATTGTTGGAATCACCGTGGTAACAAATGTTGTTAGGGGAGCAGGGCTTGGTTACGGAAGTAATTATTATTATGGTTACGTATGCTATATAAACACTATCGGGGCTAGAATGATAGCCTTCGCGTTACCTTTAGGGATACTTGTTCTTACTAATATTATATTATTCATCTTTACTTTCATTAAAATTAAAAGAAATCAGATGAAATCAACAATTAACAACAGACACAAGATAAGGATTCTTGCGTGTTTAAAATTGTCTGTAATAACTGGTGCTACGTGGGCATTTGCATATATGTATGAAGCTACCGGCTATTCTGTATTTGAATATATTTTCACTGTTCTGGTTGGAATCCAGGGCGTAGTAATATTTATGACTTTTATCCTGAATAAAAGAGTGTGGGAGATCATTTCATTGAAGTTGAATTGTTTCCATTAAACGAGCGAAATATCTGGGGGGGGGGGGTAACTTTGGATGGACGAAAATGGGTAAAAAAAGCAACGTCTACTAATTTAAAAATTGCTCATTGTGTCCCTTGTGTCTTATATATACGATCACTGTGTCTTAAATATTTGATATCAGGAGCCCATATATTCACGGTAAGATAACATACTCACTATTCATTGGAATGGACTAATGATTCATGTTTGTAATACTAAAGACTCTGGGTAATATTGAATTCGAGCTTTACGTCCTTTAAGGGTAGCCTAATGAGTGACGTTGTGTGTGTTGTTAAGTTGATGCCTAATTTTTTTCATTAATATTGATCTTTTATATACATTGACAGTATGGAAATGGTATGTAGTGTACCTGGGGTAGGACATTCTTTCTGCTTTTCACATCAGATTTGCATTCCTCATTTGGAATATCCATTTACTATTGGCTAATTTTGTTTTAATCGCCCATATAGGATTATGTTTGGACTAGGGATAAGAATCTACTGTACTTATCTGCTATATAAAGGGAGATAAGTGTGTCAGAACAGGTTTATAGACATCAAACAATTACTGTCAACCTGTTTGAAAGTGTACCCTGACTGTAGTTGATCTAACCATAAACAATCTTTTTAATTGTTTTTGTGACTCGTTTTATTGCAGTCTTTGGATCAATTTTGAAAACTTGTTAAATCAAATACCCGTTTTCTGGTAGTTATATCTGAGAAATTTCTCAAATATGTGTTCAATATGGGCCATATGATAACTTGCTGAACTTTATACATAAAATAGAAAACGCTACCACGAGACATGGACAGATCTATGCCTTTTGCCGTTAGTAAGCTCTATTGTAAATATCTTTATATATAATGTTTTATTGATACCGTGGTACTTGTTTTATATTTTGTTTATATAAATATATTTATATACAATGTGTTATTGATACCGTGGTAGTTGTTGTATATTTTGTATACATAAATATATCAATGTTTATGTCTTGTTGATACTTTGCTATTTGTTTTATATTTTGTCTACATAAATGAATTAGACTTTTTCATCTATCGCAATTGATTGTTTATTACGTTCACGCGGTCCGAATACCGGCTTTAATGAAAATATGTCAGATGTCAATATACAAGGGTAGTATAACCACTGTCACCATGTCACTGTGTAAATCTACTGGCACTGCTATCCGCTACATACCTGCGAACATCTCAGCCTATAATATTATTCTCTCCATTTTGACTACACCAAATGTCTGGACCAATGCCTAGACATAATAGCGACAAAGCAACGGGCGTAGGGATTGTTTGAGCGGTGGGAAAACATCTTCACCATGTATTTGAAATAGTGGACCGAGACAACAGAGAATAATTTGAACCATTCATGCATTTGGATTGGGAGCAATACTACAACCGAGACAAGCGACTGAGGGACAGGGTTTGATCTTCCACGCTGTATTGACCAAATAAATTTATCAAAGTGGCTTTGTAAATTGTCACTAATTGACACGGAGGGAGGTATGGAAACACACTTTCTCCGCAATCCGAATCCATGTATCCTGCATACCAATATGTTGCCACTAGATAGCAAGTCACAATATCCCTGTGACACGAAATCATCTAAGGCTGACGGTATATTAAAATAAAATTTATAGCTAGTTATGAATTATTTCTAAATGTTTTCCTCATATATTCTTTTAATTTATACTAAACAAAAACAAAACAAAGGATCCAAAATGAACACGTGTTTATGATTGTGTGAAACCTCTTTATGTAAATTAATTGATATGGCCGACATATACTTGTATTAATAAATTGTTAAACTATTATAAAGTAATACATACAAAGCATGTTAATAGTACAATAAATTCATATGCACAATAAAAAAAACCCAACTAATACATAGTTCAACGATTTTTAACAGTTCGGTAGCCAAGTGGCAACAACTAAAATGTGTGATCTTCAATCTACAGATTATAATTTAGAAAGTTCATTCATATATGCACCCATCAATTTGATCTGAAAAAAAAAATCTAAATAATATCAGCAAGAAGAGAAAAAAATACCGGTTTTGTTATATCGAATTAAGGTATTATGAACTGTGTATTACGAATACCTACTTCGTTTCGTTTTATAACTGATGAGCTTTGTACTAGTCTGGAAGCTCAGCGCGGGCGCGGGGGGTGTCCAATCGCGCATTCGTTTCGCTTTATGAATGATGCGCCATATGTGTTTAATAATACTATAATAAGATAATGCCGAACTTCGGCAACATTAGACTGTATATCGTGGATAATTAATATCTCTATGCGCCATTTACGTTTTTAATAATAATATAAAAAAATATTCATTTTTTTCCTTACCCCATTAATGTAATTTATTCTATCAATTTTTTCATTCTGTGAGTGAGCGCCATCATCACAGGCACCAACGGGAAGTAACATAACATTCTTTCCGGTAGCCTCCTGAAACGTTAAGGCTATTGGAATACTGCCCCCTTCTCGGGTCAGATCTGGTTCAACACCAAACACTACAACATAATTTATTACATATTGGCTAGCATACATGACTGTGGTAAATACATTTTAAATTAATTGAAGGGTAATATCTATTGGCCGTTTCTCGTACAATAGTCACCATGATTGGCACTCTATACAATCCTAACTAATAACTAATTGCTATCTGTATATATGTAAATTGCCATGTTTATCCGAACTATAGATAGGTAAAGCTGTACTCGTTATATGTATACAAGCCCTGTTTTCGTTCAATGGCGTATATTTCAAACAAATTCAATATTAGTAAATAAAATACACAATACGCCATCGAACTAGTTCAGAATGCTCAGTGATCTTCTGACAAGTAGGCCTCCTCACTCCACGATTATCCAGCCCCTAATGTAGTTAATTACAGATATCCCCCCACCCCCGGCCAACACGATGCTTAGGCATAGAGTGACGGAATTTATCTAGGAAAGCCAATGCATGCTCGTCAATTGTTTGGGAACTTTTCTTAGAGATGTCATATCTCCACCTGACTAATTTTAGTGGTTAATCTTGAGTTACATTTACAACCTACTTAAGAAAGTAATATACAAAATTAAACGGACGTTATAAGCTATATTGTACCTGTTCTCATTGCTCTACGTCCAGCTACGTAATTAGGATTCTGGAAATCACTAACCCATGGTCGAGCGCTTTTGTAAGTTAATCTGAAAATAATTACCACGATCCATATTTTAACACGATAATTGGCAATGACAATTTTAATCATTGTTAAACTGGCAATAATTTATAAAAAAAAATCAACTACGCCCAATCTTTGTATTATATTATGTTCATCTTACAAGCCTGAAAATTCTTAATTCTTAAATTGTTTGGCAACCAAAATAGCGTTTGTGTACTGTAAGCGATTCTATTGAGAGAAAAACAATGATTATTATTAAAGTATATTTAAAGTAGCTTAAATGAATATGCATATTCAACACCTATATTAAACGCTTGTATAGATTCTTTGATCCTTAAAGAAAGTTTTATTCAAGGTATTTAAGCTCATATTAAACATTTTGAAACTAACACATGCAGTTTGTATGGAATATGAAATGGACCAACCAGATTCAAACACCATGTGCATCATGAACTGACGATTGACGATGCAGTCGGTGCTTACTCTAAATGGTGTTAATACTCTAAAAAGATTGTAAAGTATGATGATGTTATTAGTGACTCGAGCCCAATAGCAACGGAAACCCATACTCCAAATATAGTTATAGAGAAAAAGTAAACTCGATTATCGCGCTCCTTAAAAATGAAACCTTGAACGATAGCCAAGCCAGAGTTACCAATTGTTCAGATTTAGCTTTAAGTAACATAACACTTACTTGATAGGATTAGGGCTGCCTGAATCTGTCTGTATTCTGTTGACATGTTCTCGGACCAGCCTGTCTATTTCTGTCGGTTCTTGATCTGATACCAAACGGATTGAAAATCTACCAGTAACTTTTTTAGGTATGACGGTTTTAAGACCACTGCCGTGGTAAGCTCCCTCAATTCCTTGAAAATATGTAAAGAAGGTAATACTCATGGACTAGTAGAATTATTTATTTTAAATATTGAGGTACTGAGATGAATATAAGATCATTATCAAAAAGTTTGTGACGTTAGCAAACAGTTAAAGAGTATACTATATATAATGAACTGAGGCTTATAGGCGAACTGGAGCGTTAGCGAACCGATGGTCATCTGAACCGTAAGCAAACAGTTGGTGATTTGAACCGTTAGAAAACAGCTGGTGAACTGAACCATTACCCTCGGGTGACCGCTCGAAAGATTATATATATTATAGATATATAGTTGTTTACCGTGAAGGGAGAGAGATGGATATCTCCACAAATGCATTAGAGTTCCTGTTTTTGTAGGATGGATCAATTTCTCGACCCCGATATCTTTCTTAAAATCATTCTGAAAAAATTATAAACATCTAAGTCTCAAAATTTAATATTGGGTTGAACACCATACACAATCAAACTGATTATTTCTGAATTATGTAAGAGTCATTTTACATTGGTTTCTTTTGATTTCATCCATCATTTTTGTGGTACAAGCCCGAGCATCATGTGGACATGACCTTAACTACAAAATAGCAATTGATGTTTGATCTCGTGGAAGGTGCTTAACTTTGCAAATCATAGATGTGATTATCCAGATATTTATATATGTGAAGCGTGGAAACTAAAAATACATTACTCCCGCAAAAACACAACACATTGCCTCGGACAGGACCACAGGACAAGAGTTAAAGTTGCTAAATGACTTTTATATAGAATTAAACAGTTGTATTCCTAAAATATGTTTTGAATTTCTACTTACTGGGTCGAAATCAATAGGTTCGTATAACTGCTTTTCTTCTGGAGTAAGTGCTTTCACAGTATCATAAACACCTGGAACCAGTATTCTTCCGTTTACATCAACTAAAGAACCCATCAATTTGATTAAATCTGTCATTGCTTCATGTCTACAAAAACACAATAATTTAACGGGTTAATATTTGTCTTTATAAAGCTTTCAGATTTCAGTACAGATTCACGCAATAAACTCTGTTATGTTGAAGTCTTTTTACCCTCAGACATTTGGTCATGATTATTAAGTCCCTTATAATATATATTAAAGAACTTTTACTTACACTGTTCCCCCAAATCCACCAGAATGTAGATCTTTAGAAGCACATGTCACTTCTAACATGAAATAACAGATACCTCTACAAAATAGATAAGTATGGCATTAACGCTTGTTTTAAAGAAGTAAGTGAAGTACCTTGCATACTACTTATGACATCACCAATTACCAAATTGTTTGCTACTGATTTGTCTAAGGATAACAGTTAATACTGACACTAGGAATACAAATACAAAATGAAGTGCTACCTTGACCCGTTTGCTTTTAAAATTTACACTTGATGCGATATAGTGACGGATCCATTCACTCGATTATGATATTTGTTGTTGGTTTGGTTTTGTGTGTATTGCGGCCCAGGCACTTACTATTTGATAAGTTGACAGTAATCGTGGTATAAAAATGAAACCGGTGGTCCCATTATTGCTATATGATGTAGGAATGGGTGCCACTTATCACTGACTTAGGAATATGTTTTTCCTAGCTCATGTATCTAATTTATACCTTAGACTTTCTAAGTATAAACATACCGTGGGTCTAGAAGAAGTCTGTATGATTTGCTTTATACACACTATATTGTGAAATAATTTGGATTTAAAATAAATTGATGAAGTAGTTTAAATGCTGCTACCTTAGACCATAAGTAATACATGGTTTTGTTTTTCCTAGCCAATAATTATCAGATATACAGACATAATCAATTCCCTATAAAAAAAAGAAACATAATCAGTTCCCTATAATAAAATAAAACATACTAATGAAACATAATCAGTCCCCCATAATAAAATAAAACATAATCAGTTCCTTGTAAAAACATAAAACATAATCAGATCTCTAAAATACAATAAACATAATTAGTCTCCTATAATAAAATAAAACATAAGCATACCCCTATACCATAATAAACATAATCACTTCCTATAATAAAATAAGGTATAAGCATACTCCTATACCATAATAACACACAATCAATTTTCTATAATAAAATAAGCATTCCCCTATAATAAAATAAACATAATCATACCCCTACAATACAATAAAACATAACCAGTTGTTCTCTATAATAAAACAAAACATACTCAGTTTTATACAGCAAAATAAAACATAATAAGTTATCTTGGGTGGTTCGTTTACTGGACTAGAACATAAATACAGTAAAAACGAATTGTGACCACAGTTGCGAAAACATACCGGTGTAAGCTCTATTTGATTCAATTTTTATTTTGGCAGTTAAACGGAAGCTAGTTCGTTTACTTATTTAGTTTCGTTTTTTTTTTTTGGCTTACCGACTGATGAACTAAAGTTAATATTATATGTAGCAAGACTAAAGATATATAAATAAAATAATGATTTATAGTTTACCTTTAAGAATCCGTTTGTATGTGACATGACGAGTTCCTCTAATCCTTCTGATCCGCATTCCTCCATACCTTCGAGTATAAACTGAAATGTTGGTAATGTGAATCACTGGTTATGCTATAATGTTATCTGCCATCTTCAATTTTCTGCTGTTCACTTTTTTTGACTTATTGGAAAGGGTAATCCACGAATTATTTATTTATTTCCTGTTAATTGGAAATTAAACCACATTTGCCGCTTGATCTTTTAATATTTATATTGCATTGGGCAGGTGTTGAATACTGAAAACTTAGTATACAGTTAAATAAACAAAATGTTTATAATACTATGAAATTTACCTTAATATTAATGGGTACATCCATACCAGTCTCTTGCATAGCTTCAATACAGTTAATCCAAGCTAAGACTGGGCCCTGTATATCACATAGATTTTATTAGAAATTAGAACAACACGAGATTAAATATATAAGAGTAAAGATACATACTCAACATCCAGATAAACGTTTAAAATGGTTAGAATGACTCATTAATCCTTGACAAACATAAGAACGTCAGAGATGGGAGAGATCTGTGAACATGATCTAGTAAAATTAAAATTAACAGATTAAAAGAGGGGTACACAATTTGATTAATAAAATGAATAAAATAATCCTAATCTCTAGAAAAATCTTAAAACTAAAATAGGTAAAATAAAACCACGTGGTGTTACCTTATCATCAGTGGAGCCTCTGCCATATAATTTATCATTGACTTCAGTTAAAACAAACGGATCGGTATCCCATCCCTCTTCCTGTTAATATCATGTCAAATACAATTCGATAATAATGAATCGAAAAAAGCACAGGGAGACAACAAGGTTTATAATCTGTTAGGTTAGCCCGTTTTAGATAACACAGATGTAAGTTCGAAGACCCATCTTTAATTAGCTTTCGTACAATAAGGACCTATCTATATAATACCAGCACAATTGCAATAAATCCATGGATGATGCATTTTTAGTTTATAAATCAATTTCTGGCTGGCTTATACTGCTTAATTATTAGAGCCAAAACCGAAATTTACCATTGGCTCTCTAATAAAACCAATGCAGTGAAAATCACAACCTGAATTGATATAAATCAATTTCTGACTGGCTTATCCGGCTTAATTATTAGAGCCAAATCCGAAATTTACCATTGGTTCTCTAAAAAAAACCAATGCAGTAAAAATCACAACCGGAATTCCAGATCAACTCAAAAATAAATAAATCAACTACCTTACTAGACAAAAAGGTTAAATACAGAGTTTACACTGGTTTCCATTGATATCAAGGGATTTTTTTTATTTGTCTCAGAATATTGTAATAACAATTCTGTTGTATTTTCCATACAAGCCAGCTGATTCTGTAATGGAGATTGTTATTGCTCAAACGTGCTTACTTATAAAAGTCTTTACCTCCAAATAGCACACGTTTGTTTCTCTTAAGATATGACAATTGACTTATAGAGTCTTTAAACTCGGAAAAAATATAATAAACTTTATCAAATTAAGGAAACAAAAACAAACAATTACCTTCGCAGCTGGCATGACGTCAAGATGACCATATACCAGCAGTGTTTTCTTTTTAGGATCACTACCAAGTTGAGCAAATATAACTGGTGGTAGAGGTAGCTTAGTTCCATCTGGTAATGTCTGATCCCCTAACTCTTTTAATTCATAACTAGCACCAATAACTTTTAATCTCTGAACAATTTAAAAAATAGTATGGTTTAAATAAACTATTATGTGGTTGTTATATTAAGATCAAAGTAGTTATTATTAATTAAAATAATAGCCAACCAGGTCCAGCGTTTGCATAGCGTTATAAAACGTGACTATCTAGAAACGTACTGAAGTTTACAAACTTCCGCATTTACCAAATAAAATGTTTGAAAACTCTTATTCTTAAATCGTTAGGCAACCAAAATATTAGTTTAATCTAACTATCATTTTAAAAGAAAATCAATACTGGCGTACAATAACCCATCACCGGGATTACACATCTCTGTTTATTTTAATCAATAATCCTAAACGGTAATCAATTTTGACGTATATAATAATATATCATAAGGATTAAACACCTATTTATTTATATCTAAGTAACTTCGGCACGGATAGTTACAGCCCATGAAATTATATTGCCAAGAAACATATAGACCTAAGATTTGCATACTCCTTGCAGTATTTCGTTTGATTAGACCTAATCCCACTCAACAAACACGGCCATACTCAGCGCAAATTTCTATCCAAAATTATGACTGATTAACAGTCATTTCAACATAACGAGGTAACAAAATCAATCGGATTAACCAGAGCTCTAATTGTCTGGTGACAAATTCGGCTAGATTACGCCAGAACGCGCGAAATATATTACTAGTACATAACAGAATATTGTTGAGAAACTAATTGTGTGATAAACGAGGCTATCCAAAATAGCTACAATGTTAACATTTGGTAATCGCCACGTATTGTGTTTCAACAAACTGGATGGAAATACATGTGCTTTTTCGACAAAATAAATAATTCATGGATTTTCTTCACAAAAATAAATAAATATTATCGAATATTTAAAGGTAGGTAGTAATAATTGGTACACGTTTATAGAATTTATATCGGAGATTTGAGTCAAAGAATTTTCGTTCCGATAGCGATTTTAACCGCCAGCCAAATTTAGCTACGCGAGTATCGATGTTTGTTCCGGATGGACCCAAGGTTAAAATTTTTCTTGAAATCAGCACTAACAAACATCCCGGTTAACTCATGAAAATTCTCTATGTTTTACTCAGGAGAGATTTGATTGGACGATGAGAATGGACATGCCCCGTCAAAAACTCATGTTTGCAGTCTCAATACAGTAGAGGGATTTCTCGGGTCATTGCTTCAGGAATATGAAGATTTGAACCATAATGTTTTATTCTCCGGTCATAAAATCTCCAGAAATCCTACCTTTTTTAGATTATAAAAACAGGGTTGTATTTATTTATATACACACCACATTCAAAATAATAAAAGTTCTTTCAAATCGTGTTTCTACAATAACAGTTCTTTTAAATCGTGTTTCCACAATAAAATCGCGTTGCCACAATCAAATCGCGTTGCAACAATAAGAGTTCTTTCAAATCCGTGTTTCCACAATAAAAGTTACCTTTTGGTTTTTGTAGTGCTTATTTCAGCTGGGTTTTACACGACTGTTTTATTTGATGTTGTTTGTTGGTTGTTTTTATTGTTTGTTTTATTGTTTGTTTGTTTTTTTCTTTGGGGGGGGGGGGGCGTGCTAAATTCTACAACTTTTCTGTAGTGGTTGTATTTCAGAGAATGATTGTTATGATGAGGAAGAAATTTTGAGAAATAACCAAACTCTACTCATAACACTTGTCACGTGTTATGTAAATAGTGGACGGATTCAGGAATGAGACCTAATTCTAAAATTTTACAAATAAATAAATATTGTATTAAGCGGCCCTTACACGTTCAATTTTTTCGTCAATTAATTGATGTCAATTGAAGAAATTGAACGTGTATGGAGGACATTGACGGCGAAGTAATTGAAATAATTTACAGTGTAATTGAATCAATTAATGGACGGATCAAAGTTCTTTTGATATTTATTGACGGCTCGTCAATTAAATAGACCGTGTGTGCTAGTGCCAGAGCGGTTTTCATCTCGAAATTTTCGATCAGAATGAAAATTGACGTTAAAACATTGAACGTGTATGGTTAAGGTCAATTTCGCCAATTACATGATATCAATTAATTGTATGGGTCGCTTTAGACACAAGGTTTACCTGGGCCGTCCATTCCACCATACGTCGAACCTCTCCACGTTTTTCTGGTTCTGCTGAGATACTCTGAATGGCAACGCTCTCTGCTAATAACTTAACATATTTCTCTTTATTCTTGTCGATACATCTGTGAATATATTAATCATGAATTATTATAATTCAAAATTTTAGAATCCTCATACTTCCCAAAAGTAAATGTTTCTCCAAAATATTATGAAACCATAAATGAAAAAATCCTTGACAATTTTAACCACAGAAGTAAAATGACGATTATTAGAGATATTACAAATGTATGTATTTGTGGACCATTATATTTACATTTCCAAAACACCGTTTATAGCATACAGAAATTATACTCCAGATTTAGAGTCAGGGAGTTTCTAAATAAATCAGTCCTTGGCACTGATGAATATCATATTATATAATAAGTAGTTAACTTAGTCAAATATATATGTAAACGTTAGAGGAGAAGTATAATAATTACATGGCATTAATACTGACAGCTTTGACATCCAAAAGGGCATATTTAATATAAGACTAATTAAGACGGATACATCCGAAAAAATAAAATGACCAAACTGTAAATAATATTATGTGTTGAGCATATAAAAAGAAACAAAAGTGATATGCTGATTTCTTTTAAAGTCATAATGACCACTACTAATAACAATTTTATCTCCGGGAAATCAAATCTGTAGGAATTACAAATATAAAGCATTTCTAGAGAAACAGCGAGCTTAGTTAATAAAAGAAAAAAACACCGATCACAACACCTAATGTTATTTAGTAATGCTGATTTCTTTTAAAGTCATAATGACCACTACTAATAACAATTTTATCTCCGGGAAATCAAATCTGTAGGAATTACAAATATAAAGCATTTCTAGAGAAACAGCGAGCTTAGTTAATAAAAGAAATAAACACCGATCACAACACCTAATGTTATTTATTTCTCCGGGAAATTGAATTTCTGGGGAAATAACATGGATCGTTTTGTTTATATAAAAAAAGAATCGGCCGATTTCTTTCAGTGTCACCGTGGCCACAACAGCTATAATAACATTAAATTGTTATTCTCCACGAAATTAAATCTGTAGGAATACCCAACATAAAGAACCTGAATGTTGTTGAATCTAAACACTGTCATATATAATAGAACTACGTTATAACCATAGCTAAATATAGATATAGAGGATATTTGTCGTTTTAGAGTGAATAACATATTTTATTTCATCGAGAAGCAAAAAAACTTATATTTTCACGAATGCGTAGCATGAGTGAAAATATAAACGTTTTCTTGCTTAGAGATGAAATAAAATATGTTATTCACGACAAAACGACAAATGTTCTATTTATTTTATGATTTTACAATCATTTTAGGTAAAACCAACATGGACTACTGCTAGCCAGTGGAATAACACTTTTATTTCACTGATAAAAACGCGGTATTCCACTACTGATCATAAAATAAATACCCATATTTTATTGTCCATGGGGGAACAATAGTCTGCACAGGAGATATAGTTAACCGATACGTTAAAAAAGCAATCAAATATTTTCGGGGAAAATTAACACGTAACATGATTTGTACATGTCACAGTTTGGATAGATAATTTATTATGTTTTTAATCACAAAGAAAAAAAAATCATATAAACATTTGACATTTTTAAAGCTAGAATGGTAGGCTTACATATCATTCAGAAGGTCTTATCATAGTAAAGTAAATGACAAATATGTAACACCAAACCAAATCAAAGATTGATATAGACAGGATATTGTGAGTACCCCAAATACAGAGGGGCAGTTTTGTATTACGACTATGAAATATGGTTTGATCTATTTCATAAGTCTATCAGCGCCACCAACACTAAAAAGCAGCGAAATCAACTTTGTACATAAAATGTATTGCTTGTATTTTTAATAAAACTATAGGAAGTATCACGAACCAAATTTTCATCAGTGCTTATGTGGAGACTTATCCTTTCCCCCAAATTCTTAAACCTAACCTACAATCTCGCCAACAATCACGCGCCGTAACCTTATTTACGTCCCAGCGACCTTGACGAAATTTTGAGCTGGCCTTAAGAAATAGATCTAACCATGAAATATTGATCCACCAGCCGGGCCGTGGTACAGTACAGAGTTTCTTTTTGCCATGGTGTATTTACTACAAATATATGTATAGTATATTAACTGGAACCCTTTTAAATAATGAATTTTTATACTTTGATTCGGAATTGATCAATGATACAACTTAATCTCATTGAGTCCTCTGAGCTGCCCAGACCCTAAAGGCCATGCTCTAGTTCGGCAATGAACCCACATTTGCCAGCAACATAAGTGGTGGACAGGCTAAAAGGTGGGAATGTGACTAGCTACCCTGGTAGAATTACATGCAATTCTTAATTCTTAAACCCCATTATCTGGTAACTTCACGTAAAATAAATTGCACATAATCAATTATTAAAACTGAGTAAACTTTGATTGTAAATGTGGGTAACTAAAAACATACTTACTTAAATAACCTGTCCATTTCGCTGCCACTTATTGTATGTAACGCTTTCCTGTACGAACTAAGTACGGTCGAGTATATTATGGCTGTTTTATTAAAAGCCTTGTGAACAAAGCATACATGGGCGTAGCGAAGGTATTCAAGTGATCTAGTTCCTTGAATTGTGAATTCCCCGTAAAAAATACCGTTTTCCATTTATATCCATTTGTCCATGTCATACATTAGGTCATTTCGAAACAAACATAAATTATTATGGTTCATTTATTATTTACTTTAATAATTCGTTTGTGCATATAGACCCCCTCCCCCGCCCCACTCCTCCGAGCTTGGAATCGAAACGTGTTAGAACCCTACCCCACCCCACCCTACCCCAGCCCGTACAAATGGACACAAGACGACAAAACTGTAAGTGTATGTGGTAGACAAATTATTGTATGGACGGCAATTAGTTGAGTTCATAATTACACTGTCCTGGCAAAAATACTATCAGTGTATAGGTAACTACTGCATACTATTCCCGAGGAATTATCAATAATATTAATAATTCCTCGGGAATAGTATGCACAATCAAATCCATTCAAAGTATAGTATATTTCTCCGGAAATGAATCATTTCTAGGAAATTCGTACCTTGCTGTTTTCATAAAAGGTTGCGTTGACAAATAATTAACATATTAATAATGTGGAGCTTGGTCTAAAAAGCTATTGGATATCTGAAGGAATACGCGGATCTAGTATGGAGATAGTAAGGGGGTATAATGACTAATCTCGACTGGTCCATGCTACGGAACCCTATTGCGGCCATTTTATAGTCTCGACTTAATTGGTGCATAAAAGTAGCTTGCTTGATAGACTATGCCGTAATTTAAAGCCGTGCTATGTCGCCAGAATGGACGGCCACGAAGGGATGTGGCAAAGTAATTAACAAATTTGCTGCTGTCCTTACATAATGTCAGCTGTCACAGTTTTACTATATAAATATGTATAAATTATAGTATGGTGCCCATCTCTATACAATGATATTATTTATGAATGGTATCAGGACAGGCGAAAAGTACTTTATAATGTTATTAAATCAATGTTGAAATTAGTTTGTGTCGGCACACCTTTTATCTTTACATCGTTTATCGTGAAGCAAAGTCGTGCAGCTTTAAGGTTGTGCCAAAATGTTGGATATATATTTATTATATATAGCTATGGCTTTTAGCAAGATTATATTTTACTGCAAATGAATTAATGGAATTTGGTTATTAACAACAATTGTGTTTATGTTTGCCAACTATAGGACATGTCATTGATATCGACTATTTCAATCTATTCAAATGCCGCAAATGGAGCAGATAGTGATGTGTTTTGGTCGTTCGATTGAACTAAAAAAACAGAGTTTGTATATGATCGAATTCTAGGCAGGATCGGCGGAAATGAACCTGACCATGAGGGGGAGGGGGAGGGGGTGGAATCCAACCTAAAGTGATATTCAAAATGTGAATATTATCATACCAATAACCATATCTGTAACTGTAACCACAATAATTCTAAATACAGGGCCAATGTACCCTGCGTATGTTGTTACGACTTCACAAAGTTGCCTGGGTTTTATATTTCATAAATTCTTTGCTAATACAGAATGATTAAAATGAAATAAGCGTACATCATTACATAAATCGATGCACATTTGGTTTCAACTTCAACTTCAATGACATACCCCACAAAATCCTCTGTTGGACATAGCGTGAAGGTGCTTGGCATATTTCAACCGTTCAGCGTTGATTGCCTTTATTATTTCGATGCTTATTGGAAGTTTGTTTGTGACATGGCCGTCATATCAACTAAAACTGAAAACATGACATGAAAAAATAAATTCTTTATTAATCAGTTACTAAGCATGAAAGAAATGAAATTTAATAAAGCCTCTGCAGCAACCGGGGGTCAAAAGTTATTTTGTATAACAGACAAAACAATTATTAACCTTAATTGACGAGTGTGCACAGAACTTCTAACAAATACTTATATTTATTTTCTACATTTCACGAAATTTGTTATTTATAAAAGGGCTTTCCTTCATTGAGATTTCTTTTAGCACAACGCCAATAATGAATCACATCAGTCTGATACAACGTTTAAGAACCTGGGGCCTGTTTCACGAAATTTTAACTAAGATAAAATCCAAATTTTAGTAATTTGATTGGATAATATTAGATTGATTTTAGTGCTTAACCAATCAAAATTGAAGTATCTTCTAAAATTTGGATTTTATCTTTAGTTAAGATTTCGAGAAACAGGGCCCAGGACCACATTTTTCTCCAGTTCCTTCCCTTATTTATTGTTTGTTGTCTGTGTATATTCTGCCTGTACGTAGGTTTGTCGTGTAACTGTTCGTTCGTGGTGCGGCCTGGCCCTACACTTACTATTACGATAATTATTTCTGTTATCACTCGTCACTTCAGTTAGTTTAAAGAAGGACAACTCACTCGTGTTTTCCCTTTCTTGAAAGCTTCATAACGCATCTATGGTAGCAATGATCTCTGTGTTAGAATTATGTTTGGAACGCGTTTATCCAGTTCTATCACATGTGATAATGACTGAATCCAATATTGTCCTTCATTTTCTACTCTGGAATGCAGGACCTATCTTTAGTGCATGTTGCAGATGGTTCGAAGGCTACAAAACAGTTAGAATTTCTTAAAACATTAGAATATGTTTCTTTGGGGTTGCTGTAATTGCGAAATTCTTCCTTGCTTCGACATCTTATCCATGCTTTCCAATTCTCCATAACGTCCACATAATTACAAATGGCGCAATATTTATTTTGGTAGGTTATATTAGTGCGTAGATCTGTTACTGGATTGATGTTTGTCCACTGCAAGGGTGAATTCAAACAATTATTCAAACTACCAGTTTGGGAAAGCGTGCCCATTTAAAGCTGTTTTTGGTTAGAATACAACTTGACTTAACGAACGATTGACATATTGGTTCTGGATTGGTAGCATTGTTCATCACAATAGCAAGGTGTACAGTTAGAGTTGGCATTTATTTAAATCAGTTTAATAAACCGTTCCTGGCACGCTCTTCTACAGTACCGAGTATGAAGATTCATAACCGAGGATCCTTTGACATTTGCTTAATACTTCTTTTTGATGTACTGATTCAGAATCCAATGGGGGTTGCAATAAATTACACGAAACTATATGAGTTAGGTACAGATATTGCAAACTCATATAATTCATCGAAGTATCGTACCCATTTTAATTTGCTTTTATTTGATTAATTTTTAAAATTATAAAGGATCTAAATAAATTGCAGGAATCAGTTTTAAAAGCTACTTATTTTAGACAAACTGTTTAATTTATAAAAGCATGGTTTAGACAACAGCGATAGTTCTTTTTATATGTCGATAGCAAATGCAAGATATTTTCCATCCTTCCACATATTTATCTTGTAAATGCCATTGAACTTCTTCAAGACATTGTGTAATTTACAAAACCAAACCTTTAAGAACCATCCAGGTTATACATAATACGGGAAAATAAACCTATTCAGCAAACCTTCCGCATGATTCACATACTATATGAACTATATTTGATCAACATAGATTTTTTATTATAAAAATAAAACAACCATTTATACATAATATCACTTAACAAAGTGGTGATCATAATTGACGCATTGTAAGTTTGATTAAATGGTCGTATTTATTATTTACAATAATGGCATAAAATAATGAATACAATCAATAAATGTATTACTAACAAACACTCAGTATTTTGTGTACTGAATGGGATACAAATTGCATTGTCTACTGTGGTATAAAATTTGTCCTTTGGCTAATTGCACGATTTATTGATTGCTCGTCAGTAAATTTACAATGCTATGTTTTTGTTTGTAGATTAGTATTTAATCATGGATAGTAAGTTTGGGAAAGAATGAAATCGGTTTTCTGAATACTTAACCAACAAACAGAGAGGAAATCAAAACCAAATGTGATGCAGTTCATTCTGCTTTAGTACTGCATCATTTAAATCAATCTCAGTATATAGAACAGAGTTCATTCTAGTTCAGCATTCATTGTAGCACAAATCAGAAATGTCCTCGATACTGGTTGTTTGAATGAAAAATACCCCCCCCCCCTCTAAATTATCAAGGCGAATTACTGCGTATAAATAAAACGGTGTTCTGTTTTGTTTTTTTTCATTTTTGTGCTCAATGATCTTCCTCAACTCAAATCTTTATTGACACATAACTTCAAGAAATTCTGCACACATGACTATCACACCATTTTCAAACGTCATATTTTATGGAAACATATATTATTCCTGAAACATATAAAACAATAGAAAATCAGTCCTGAATTAAATAAACACCGTTTTCGGGTATCCCAGGCAATGACAGTATGGGCAATTTTGTTTTCTTTTTTGGCAGGCTCATTCATCAATGTTAGGGACTTATTCAGGTGGAACTTTTAAATCGCGCTTTGATCAAATTCTGACTAGCATGTTCTGCTTAATAGTAAGTCATTAATAAGAAGAAATCGCTTGAAAATATAATGAGGGTGTCGAAAATAGTAGCTGAAATCTATCTAATAAACAGGAATTCTATGCCAAAATAGGCATTTGTTGACAACACGTCAGAACGGTATACATAGACACCGCTAGAATCCTAGACAGCACACAGTTTTACATGGTATTTTTGAGGATGTAATCATGAAAGGCAATTGTCTGAACAAAATAATAGAGTCCGAAAAATAACCAATGTTATTATGGAACTCCAGAAGCAAGGGAAGTTAATTTTTGTTGCCAAGAGTTACTCCTCTTTAGTCTCGGTTAACAGGTCAGAACTATTTCAATCAAGATTGACACTTCGGTTCAAAACATCGTATTAAGACGAATTTCTTGTCCTTTTAAAAAATCTCCAAAAAAATGGCTATGTACGAATAACATTTTCTTTCATAATTCATTTTAAATTTGTGGGAAAGCGAGGACGGCCCAATTCTATTGCGAATAGTTTGAAAAATGTACCCAAGCACGTGGCCAAATAACGACTTTTTAAACTTAATGTAAAAATGTTTCTTAAATAGTTCCGGGGAAACTCCCTAAATATTTGAGCTACAATATTGATAAACACGTTCCTGTTTCGTATTTAGAGGGGTTTTATTGTCCATTTGACCATGTTGAATTTTCCATTAAAATAACTCGACGCTGTCGCGTCTCGTGTTCTAATGATTCAAGCATGGTTAAATGCATCTTCAATAGAAGGTTTGATCTCGCCTTAACTACGTACATCTTATCAAGCCCTTCACGTAATACCCCGCATATTTTAGCACTAATTTCGATTGGGTACAAGCCCACCCTCACGCAAATGAAGTGATGACGCCACCCATATGAAGTGTAGGTGACACTAAACCGAGACGTGCTCGAAGTGAAAAATTTGATATCTGAAGTGTTCATTTCTACCACACTTCCGTAACAACACTTCAAATTTTCAATGAAATAAAGAAGGCAGAAATGATGTTGAAGTGAGGAAGAAGCCATGCCAAATATGCAAATTAGGCTTCTGAATCTGAAAAGATCGGTTAAAAACTGTAACTCCTATCAAATTCAATGTTTTTGGCTGTGGGGCATAACTCTGAACTCGAAAGCCAAATCTTCAGCAAAGAGGGGTTAATTCGGGCATGGGAAATGTTGGCGTAAAAAACTGAGAATTCTAGAGGATCCAGAAGTTAAAAACAATGGATCGTACAATCAGGTGTAATATTCTAGGAAGATACGGTTCAATATATGCCAAAATCCTCTGGATGGCCCACATGCTAAAAACCCAATTTTATCACAATATAAGGGTCCATAATTCATGAGGTTAGAGTCCAAAATGAATCCGATCCCAGATGATTTGAATATAAATATACATTTAAATTTCATTAAAATCGGATAATTGTGACGAGTAGAGTTGTCCACAAACAAATTTCACCGGAGGTACATCTGGACGGACAGGGGCAGGTGTTTTGTAATTTGGATAGCGCCAGGCTATAATCCATTACAGTTTACACATTTCATGTGTTTTCTTGCATCTTGAACACACCATATTCAACCCACATTCAATGTTGCTATTAATCACCTCCACACCTTATTCGACCACATTCATAGGTGCTGTTATTCTGGTTTAATTAACCTGAAATCAAAACAAAAAAAATGTTCAGTTAAAGATGCATTCCGAAAAAAGTAATTATAGGGAGATTATTTCGAAGAAGATATGGTAAGTTTGGATATGGAAAGTAGAGATTGGACAGTTGACCCTACTCCTCATCACATACAACTAAGGAATCGAAACCATGCCAGTTAACTCAATGACAGACATGAGCTAACCAGTCGGCCATCCAACCCCCCAGATTCCCATGGAAACACTAAGAGACACAGTGAAAACAAGCAGATGCCATGCAAGATACACCCACATTTTGTAAGCGGTGGACAGAGAACAAGCCAAAAAAGCGATTTAAGTTTCATCAAAATTGGATAACAATTGTGATCTCTAGAATGTGATTTGTACAATCAGTCGCCATAATCCATAAGTTTTGGTCCATATGCCCGAATATTCTAATGAACCGAGATCTTTGGGATATAAACATACATTTCAAGTTTTATCATAAAAATTGTAACTCTAAAGGGTCCACAAGCTAAAAATGCAATTTTTCATACGATCAGGGGCCATAATCTATAAGTTATGGTCTAATATGCATGAATATTGAAAGGAAATGAGATCCAGGGAGTTACGACCCAATATGATCGAATATTGAAAGGATCTGGGATCTTTGGGTTATATACATACATTTTAAGTTCTAAATTGCGACCTCTAGATGGGTCCAAAACCTTGGCTATTTTGTTAGGCAATTTCAGTCTATTTTTCACGAAATTTGAGCTCAACTGTTATTAAGATGTAACGGTGATATAGTTGAACTGTTTTTTTTTAAATCAGATAATAATTGTGATTCCTGAAGGTTTCACAAGCTCAAAATGTGATTTTTTCAATACAATCAGGTGCTATAATCCATGAAGGAAAGGGGATTATCTTTTTAGATCAGATGGGATGATTCTTCTCAAAGATGCGGGTATGAGTTACATGTATAGTGAGAAAAAGATACAATTTAATGGCAGTAATTTACGAACAATCCCCATACTTACTTTAACAAGGGGTTGCCATACATGATACGCCCACATTTTGCAAGAGATGGACAGAGAACAAGCTCAAAAAAGGAAGTGATTTTTCGTACAATCAAGGGCCATAATTCAGGAAGTTACGATCCGATATGCATGAATATTGAAAGGAACCATCCTTAGAGTATAACGGTGATATATTCAAACGTTTTTTTAAATCGGATAATAATTGTGACCTCTAGAGGGACCACAAGCTATCAACGTGATTTTTCGTACAATCAAGGGCCATAATTCAGGACGTTATGGTTCGATATGCGCGAATATCGACAGGAACTGAAATCTGTGGGTTATAAACATGCATTTCAAATTTTATCAAAATCAGATGAAAATTGTGACCTGCAGAGGGTCCACAACCCTGATACGCAATATTTTGACACTATTTGCGAATGAGGGCTGGCCATTTTATGTCGGTTTCAGTCCGATTTTTACGAAATTCGAACTCAACCATCCTTAGGGTGTGACAGTGATATATTCACACGTTTTTTTAAATCGGATAAAAATTGTGACCTCTATGGGGTTCACAAGCTAAAAACGTGATTGTTCGTACAATCAGGGACCATAATTCGGGAAGTTATGGTTCGATATGCGCAAATATCGAAAGGAACCGAGATTTGTGGGTTATAAACATGCATTTCAAGTTTCATCAAAATCAAATGAAAATGTAACCTCCAGAGGGTCCACAACCCTGATACGCAATATTTTGACACTATTTGCGAACGAGGGGCGGCCATTTTGTCTGTCAGTTTTGGTCCGATTTTTACGAAATTCGAACTCAACCATCCTTAGGGTGTAAAAGTGATATATTAACACGTTTTTTTAAATCGGATAAAAATTGTGACCTCTATGGGATCCACAAGCTAAAAACTTGATTTTTCGTACAATCAGGGGCCATAATTCAGGAAGTTATGGTCCGATATGCGCGAATATCGAAAGGAACTGAGATCTGTGGGTTATAAACATACATTTAAAGTTTAAACCAAATTTCACGAAATTTGAGCTCAACTGTTATTAAGATGTAACGGTGATATAGTTGAACGTTTTTTTTTAAAATCAGATAATAATTGTGATTCCTGAAGGTTTCACAAGCTCAAAATGTGATTTTTTCAATACAATCAGGTGCTATAATCCATGAAGGAAAGGGGATTAACTAAGGCCTATATTTTGCTAAGACAAATATGGATAACAGACCACAGGAGTGGATGACGGAAATATACGACTGTATTAAAATGTGGATGCATACAAAGGATTACCTTCCATTGACTGTAGTCAACATTGTTAGTGCTGGTACAGGGCGGCATTAAAATCTTCAATGACTGATTTATACCAAATACTGTATACAACAGCACTTATTATTTGTCTTTCCATCATTCATCCATCCGGGTCACAAGCTCGCCATCTGAAAACATAAAATTATCTTTTTAGATCAGATGGGATGATTCTTCTCAAAGATGCGGGTATGAGTTACATGTATAGTGAGAAAAAGATACAATTTAATTGCAGTAATTTACGAACAATCCCCATACTTACTTTAACAAGGGGTTGCCATACATGATACGCCCACATTTTGCAAGAGATGGACAGAGAACAAGCTCAAAAAAGGAAGTGATTTTTCGTACAATCAAGGGCCATAATTCAGGAAGTTACGATCCGATATGCATGAATATTGAAAGGAACCATCCTTAGAGTATAATGGTGATATATTCAAACGTTTTTTTAAATCGGATAATAATTGTGACCTCTAGAGGGACCACAAGCTATCAACGTGATTTTTCGTACAATCAAGGGCCATAATTCAGGACGTTATGGTTCGATATGCGCGAATATCGAAAGGAACTGAAATCTGTGGGTTATAAAAATGCATTTCAAATTTTATCAAAATCAGATGAAAATTGTGACCTCCAGAGGGTCCACAACCCTGATACGCAATATTTTGACACTATTTGCGAATGAGGGCTGGCCATTTTATGTCGGTTTCAGTCCGATTTTTACGAAATTCGAACTCAACCATCCTTAGGGTGTGACAGTGATATATTCACACGTTTTTTTAAATCGGATAAAAATTGTGACTTGATTTTTCGTACAATCAGGGGCCATAATTCAGGAAGTTATGGTCCGATATGCGCGAATATCGAAAGGAACTGAGATCTGTGGGTTATAAACATACATTTAAAGTTTAAACCAAATTGGATAAAAATTGTGACCTCAACAGTGTTCACAACCTAAAAACGCGATTTTTCGTACAATCATGGGCCATAATCCATGAAGTTACAGTCCGATACATGCTAATATTAATATCGAAAGGAACCGAGATCTTGGGGAGATAAACCTATATTTCAAGTTTCGTTGAAATCGGATAAGAATTCTGACCTGTAAAGTGTTCACAAGCAATTGTGGACGGACGGACAGGGGCGATGACAATATACGTCCACATGAAAATGTAGGCGTATAAAAAGGATCGGGGAGCGACATTAAAAGTTAACTGGAGATTTTTTATCAGACTACATAAACAATCCGACCTATATGACTTAATTATCCCACAAAGCAAAATTGATGCAATTTGTACATTTGGGCAATCAGTTTCATTTTCAGGCAAGTGAAATCATTGAACTACTTGCCCTAAGAAGTTAATGTTGAGTTAGGAATGTGTCATGTTTTATTTTCCAGCAACAATCCCAAGCATAATAATTTAATGTCTACTTTTATGCACCCACCAGACTAATGAATACAGATATATGCCATACAGTGACCTATAAGGAAAATTTGGGCCAGAACCACTCCGCTAAAGCCTACTATATTGAATTCTGTCAAGGGTTCTTTTACACCAATGTTTACACTGGACCTTGTGTTTTTTGTACCATCTAATTCTGAACAACTGGATACTGTCCTTGCCAGGCCCTCCCAGTCCCACCACGCTGACAAGGGAAAACCGCTCGAGAACTTTCTTGGCAAACCAAAGACCTCTTGGTTAGGGTGCCTGCGTCTTACTAAGCCTAATCATTTACAGTCTTCTAGGCTAAATTTGACCTGTGAAGAAAGTTTTCTTAAAAATCAATTTAAATATTACCTACACATGTGTAAGGTAATGAGTGTCATACACGTCTTTGAATTCTTTACTTTAAAATTAGAATTTTTATGAAAAAAAAGGGAAATGAGGTTGAATGAAGATGAACATACGCTATGCAGTGGCCTATGACCATATGAGGGTTTCTGTTGCTTTGAGGGAAGTTTTGTTTGGACCGCAGAGTTGCAGCCTTTTATAACAAATTCCAACTGCCAAGGGTTCTTTTACGTGTCCTCCATGTCCAAGAGACCCTGGTTTTCTTCCTATCTGAATCTGACATGGAGAAATCATGCCAGGAATTTCTGAGGAACTTACTTGGCAACACTGGGATCGAAACCTGAACTGTAACAGTGGTGAGGGTGGATTCCATGTGATTTCTACTCGAGAAATTATTCAATATTGCGACCATCGGAATAAAAGGTTGAAAGATTTAAATTTACGGGCCATTAGCTGCCTTTAAACTACAAGGAATTAGGGAACGTATGATTATTGGACAGCAGTACTGAGGGGTAATCTCTATAACTGACTTTCAAATTCTCAGGCCGCCCAACCATGTATCAACCTCAAGAACCATTGAACTAACGGATTTCAGATCATCGGCCCATGTAGGGGTGACAGAATAAGTTTACTTCAATTTACCATCTTGTCTAGACATATTTTTCACATACCGGCACTGGTGGATTATTAATTTACAACCTCTGAAAAAAAAATAAAGACGAAATAAATTCACCTTTTTTTCAAGTACCGGTACAGTGTACCGCAGTTTAAATTTACCGAAAACAACTTTAATCATTCAAAATGAATGCCAGTTAACTCGTCCACACAAAAAGTCTAGTTATGTCGTCCACAAATATCGAAATACATGTACACTGGTTTATTAGTCGTTGACACACCCATGGCGCCTCAATTCGACAATGGCAATGATATGCCATGAAAATGAAATGAATAAATCAATTCTCTGCATAGATCTAGTTCAAATTAAACTGAAGAATTTTCTGGGACAAATCTTCAAATTATAAATAATTCGGTGTACTTCATCAATCAATGAAATAGGCATTTCGTCGACGCCATGCCATGCATGACACTAAATCCAAATTGTGTGTGACTCGTGAGTCATAATCACACTAAACTTGTTTTTACGCGATTTTCAGCAACTTAGACATTTTGTTAGTGACAAATTGTAACTGATCATTAAATTGGCTAGCAATAACAAAAACCTGGTCTTTACAACAATTAAAACTTGTTGTTGTTCTTAGCGTTTAACGTCCGCTTCCACCGAAGGTGATATCGCAGACAAGTTCATTTTAATGATCTTAGCGCACGCACCTTTGCTGTGGGAGGAAACCGGAGTACCCGGAGTAAACCCACGAGGTTGAGAAGGCGCCCCTATCTCCAAGCCACATACGCTCACACCTGGGATCGAAACCACAGCCGCAAGCCAGAGGTGACCGGCCAACTAGAGGTCGAAGCGTGACACTCTAGACCACTAGGCCATCCCAACCCCCCTACAATAACTTACCTTAAATTGTTTTTTTATCAGGGCCAATCGATCAAGTTAGCGAAAATAAAAAGATGGCGGATAACATGAGACGAAGGCTACGATTGGATTAAATTTCACTTACGTCATTGTTGACCAATCCTAGCGATCTTTAGAAAATACAAGTAAAAAAAAAAGAAATTTTAAAATCATTTTTTACTACCGGTATCATTAACATAAATTCTTATGTTTGTGTTTGGTTATAAATCTATTTCCTAAAAAAATGTTGAATTATGTATCAAAACATTGTTTTCCAATATCTTAACAACTTTCATGAACTAGGCTATATTTCGCTTGAGATTTGTAGGCCTAAGGCCTAATGTATTAATTATCTCACATCTGGGTCACAGTAGTAACGCCAACAAAAATAAATAGGTCAACAATATTTTTAAATACTTGATCGCCATTTTGATAATACTAGATAGGCTAATTTAATTACAGCTAGACCTACAATTAAAAATTTAGTTTAAGATGTTGTAGGCCTACATCTCTATATATTTATTTTAAAAACAACTTAAAAACACATATTTAAACAGGATTTTTCCCTGTTGTATTAATAGTAGCCTATTTTATAATACAACTGGTTAACAATAACATTGTTTTTTTGTATTGTCACTCTGTAAGTTCCCCTGAGCACTATAAATATGCTGTAATAATAATAATAGTATAATATTAATAAACAGAAATAATAATAATAATAAGCAAATTTTAGCAATGTCTAAATGTCAACATTTTTTGTAATCTTTTTACATTTCTTCCAAAGCAAATGTTAATTATTGTATCAAAACATTGTTGTTCAATATTTTAACTTTTCATGAATTATAGTTTCTGAAATTTTGATGTCATTGAAAATATGATAGGTGTCCGTGTAGGGCCTACTAGGGCCTACGTAGGCCTAGGACTGTTTTTTTTTTTTAAATGACAGATTCTCGCAATTTTAATATAGACTATAGACCTACTTAATGTCTTTTTGAGACTAACATATGGTTCAATTTTATTTCAATAATTTGCACATGCACGTAGGGGTCTTTAGCAGTGGGAGGAAACCGGAGGACCCGGAGAAAACCCACAAGGTTGGACAGGCGACTACTCCTTGTCACGTAACTGGGGAATCAAAACCATGCCAGTTGACTCAATAACAGACCTTACGATACAACGCGCTCACGCTAACCATTCAGTCATCCAAAACCCACCCCCGGTATTATCAAAAGTTTACATAGGTGTATTGGAAGGTTAATTATGGTATCAAAACCCAATTTTGTCAGCATCCATAACAAATTTGGTCAAATACTGAAAGAGAAATTTTCAATAGGGTCTACAGTAACTTTTTACTTTACAAAACTAAATTTGTTTTGAAACTGTATATATCAAACCACTTTAAAAGTACATGTCGTACAATTTCTTTTCACTTTAATAAATGTAATATAATTTTAAACGACATCTAAAAAAATTGTCTCTAACTGAAACAATTCTGGTTCTTACAAGTATATTGAATAAAATCCAGCTTGTCAGATCAAAAAAAATTCTTGCTTGATATTGGGAGACACTGTGGCTCAGTGAGAGAGAGAGAATGGGTTTTAACGTCCACTCGTCCACTCGACACAAACTAGGTCATTTCGGTACTAACATATGGTTCAATTTTATTTCAATAATTCGCTTGCGCGTAGGAGTCTTTAGCAGTGGGAGGAAATCGGAGGACCTGGAGAAAACCCACGAGGTTGGACAGGCGAACCTACTCCTTGTCACATACAACCGGGGAATCGAAACCACGCCAGTTGACTCAATGACAGACTTTATGATACAGCGCGCACGTGCTAACCATTCGGCCATCCACCCCCCCTCAGTGAGTGAGACGTTGGCACACTAGCCGAGTCGTCCCATGTTCGATCCTGTCATTGCACAGGAAAGCTTTTCTAGATTTTACGCCTTGGTTCCCCCTTTCAAGTGGTGCAGGACATAGGGCCTGGCAAGAAGAGAGAGAAATGAAGTTTAATGTCCACTCTACACAAACTACGCTATAGCAGGACTAACACATGGATCAATTTTATTTCAATTATTTGGCTGTAGGAGTCTTTTGCAGTGGGAGAAAACCATGGGGACCAGGAGGAAACAGTTGTATAGTCGAGCGGATGGCACAACAACAAACAAAACGACATCACACATGCACATGGCGTGTATGTAAAAGTTGGATTTTGAAATAAGATAAGGCCTTAGTGCCTCATTGCACACTGTATGGCGTATGTAATGGGTGTCTTTTTTGAAGGTTTTTTGATAATAAGAGCATGAGTAATTCTTTTTTGTTAAGAATAAATTCTTCAATTATCCCAGGTTGGATCCCGGCATATCAACAAAATTAATCAGTATTTCCGGAATAATTTACCATTGACAGTGGTGTCGGACAGAGGAAATGAAATGAAATGAAATGGGGTTTAACGTCCTACTCCTATACTGGGCTAATGAAGACAGGCATACGCCATACAGTGTGCTATGAGGGAAATTTTGCCCGGGCAGCGGCACTATCGCCTACTCTTATATCGAATTCCAACTGCCAAGGGATCTTTTACATGCATTCCAATGTATACACGGGACCTCGATTTTTCGTCTCATCCGAAGGACTAGACAGCTGTCCTTGTCAGGCCCTCCGTCCTGCATCACTGACAAGGGGGAATCACGCCGGAAAATCTGGATGAACTTTCTCGGCCAATGCAGGGATCGAACACCCGACCTCCAGGCTAGCGAGCCAGCGTCTTACCCACTTAGCCACGTGATCCCCTGTCGGCTATAGGTCCTGGCAAGAAACAGCATCTAGTTGTTCATACTGTTTATATAGCACCGCTGTCTGTGCATTCTCCAAAATTGTCTGACAGATTATTCCCCGGTTTCAGCAGATGGAGCAGAAAAACAGGGCATTATAACCAATCATTCAATTTGTCACTTGCTAATATAGGGGAGCCACAGTGGCTCGGTGGATAAGAAGTTTGTTTTACTAACTAGGCCTATAGTGGCTCTGTGAGTAAGACATTGGCTCGCTAACTTAGAAATCCCAAGTTTATTATGATTTTCTGGTGTGGTTCCCCATTGTTAGCGGTGCAGGACGGAAGGCCTGGCAAGAGACAAAGTAATGGAGTGCACATAAAAGAAATGAAATGAAATGGGGTTTAACGTCCTACTGTTCTGCTCCTAAACTGGGCTATAGGCCGTGGGCCGAACCAGATAAATATGATTTTTAGCTGCAAGTTTTTGGTGAGGAGGAAATCTCATCATAATTAAATCAAATAATGTTATTTATGATTAAATCAACATTGTTTTCCCAAAAAAGTATGTTTGCTACTTAGAAAATGCTATTTTAAAGTGACTTAATTTTAACCAATCAGAAGGCAGCATCAGGCCTGAAAACTGTCGAGCCCGAGCCTAACAAAGATGGCCGCGCCCATGCTTGAATGTTGTTGTCATATCACTGACTGCACAGATGAGCCAATTTTACCTGTTTCTGATGTATCCTGGGGAAGGATATGTGAGTGTATGACTTTGTGGGCTTCTCTAGACGGAAAGGAAAAAGAAATAGCTTGTGTATTTAATTCTACTTCCTGTGACACTAGTGGTTTTCACAGAGTTTTCTATCAACGTTTCACAAATAAGAAACGAATTGAACAGTAGGGCTATGAATGCTGTGACGTCATCGTGGCTAATTTTCCTCGATGGCGTCAAAAATCCGGACACGTATTACAAAACACTAATTTGTAAGCAGATGTCTCTACTTAAAATTATAATGATTTATATGGTATGAATCAGAATTGAATTAGCCTTTCAATGGTGTTATTTATATTTTGGTACGCTAATTACCTGCCGAGAAATCGTCCGTTGAAAAGCGTATACGGCTTATCGAGGGATTTTCTCGCCGTAAAATTTTGTGGCACACAGATTTTTACGATTTTCGATTTTTGTATGCTATTTTTAGTCGTTTCGTAGCTAATGGGGATGCATCGCAGAACCAAATTTCCTGTCCAATCAAAAAGAGGAAATCCTAAAATTATTTATACCGTTTGCGCCCGATTTCTAACCGAATTAGAAGCCAAGATATGCCAAATTGAAGGAAAAAATTGCTTTTTAATAATATTTAGAAAAGAAAATTTTTACACGCGCACGCGGATTTGTGAAGACGAATATGTTTTCTACAAACTGCAAAAAAAATTATTCTAAAATATTAATAAATAAATAGCTACGAAGCTAATATGTGAGTGAGGGGTAGTCCTCAATTCTCGAGACAAAATCCAGGGGGCGTGGCCGCGCTACGTATCTTCGCGAGATTTTCAAGGACGTATCCACAGAAGAAGATTGTGGAGCATTATGTAAGTTTTCAAATGTAGAATTCGTCTTAATCTAACTTAATCGCAAAACGATGTTGGAAATTCATTTCTCCACTTTATAAAACGGTTCCTATTGCATTTTTGCAATGGCTGTTGGTGACAAACGGTAAACCAGCATGTCTCATTCGAAATGCAGGAGCCGTTAGAAGTTGATGTAGTCCTATTCAACCAGTTTATGACGTGTATGTCTGTCTACAGTAAAACAGAAATAAAAACGTCTGGATGGTACAGTCTTCTGCTTCAATCAGCAGTTGTCATTGTTTTGTAATGTATGCCTATCTTAGTAGCTAGTTTGATTTTGATGAATGCAATGTTTCAATTTTTTTTTTTTTTTTTTTTAGCTATAGAAGTCTTGATCTTGTCACTGTCAGTTTTCTTGTTTAATTCTTGTTGATGCTGGTAAGTTTACTTATAGGTAGGTCTTCTTAAAATAGCAGCATTGATTGAATGAAAATTTTAATGTTTTAAAGTCTAATTTAAATTAATTTTAATTAGATCTAGACGACATTAAAATTTTCATTCAAATTTGAATCAAAATATAAAATAAAAAATCAGTACGACAGAAGACTAAATGATCTACTGTCTTTTGATTTTGATCAATAGGCCTACAATTAAAAGACATGTTAAAATATTTTTTTTTTTTTTTTTTTAGCTATAGACTATAGAAGTCTTGATCTTGTCACTGTCAGTTTTCTCGTTTAATTGTTGATGCTGGTAAATTTACTTACAGGTTGGCCTACTTAAAATAGCATCATTGATTGAATGAAAATTTTAATTTTAATTAGATTTTACATTAAAATTTTCATAAAATATAAAATCAGTAGGCCTACGACAGAAAACTAAATCATCTACCTACGTAGTAGGCTACCTATTTATAGTACGCGTAAAGACGTTAGCAGCAGACTTACACTTAGTAATATTTTAGTAGGCCTATTATGTATCTGCATACATGTAGGCCTATGTGGGGAGTATTGTTGAGCGGGAAAATTTCTCAAAATCTCCCAGTCTTACCTCTTAAGTGTTTGTGAATCTCAGAGAAAAGCAATTAACCGTCTTTTGTATGATTGTTTCATGTCTTTTTTTTTTTTTTTTTCAGAAATATTCTGCATCCTGTCTGATGATCCTTTTGATGGACAAAATCCATTTTAATGACAAAGGAATGAAAAAATACTATCATAGCAATCGTCGTGTGTGTTTATCTTCATAATTGTTCCTTATATCGTGTTTTATTGTAATAGGTTTCTTGTGTGTGTTGTCTTTGCAACTGTTGTCCTGTTTAAATCTGCCGAGGCCGGTCCCATGCAAGCACGAGCTGTGAAAGAAGGAGGGTTGAGAATAGGGCTACAAAAACCTACAACGTAAAACAACATTTTGTGGCCGTAAAAACCCCACCAAAATAAACAGTAAAACTAAAAGGATATATTGCAATTACTTAAGTGAACAAATCAGTAAAATAATCATTAGTGTGATGCTTTGATTCAGTACTATTTATACAGCACAATTTTATATAAATATTGCACTTTATAATTATATGTAAAATTAGTTTGCTAGTGGATTTGTAAAATCTGTTGATTTTATCCTTAATGTCACAAGGGTCACTATCATTACTAAAATGCAGTAAATAGAATGACGGATATTGTAAATATTTTAATTTGACAGACAAAAAATGGAATTTAAATGATTATAATGTTACTTAGCATGTTCACTAAGCATCCACCAAAGATGATCAGTTTTGTATAAAATATTCAGAATCTTACAGATTTTTTCTCAGATTAATGATATTTGTGGTCTAAGGGGAGTGAACTCTGCCCTATTACCTCCCTTTGATTCCTAAATGCTAATACATCATTGCATGACTTTTCTATCACAGAAAATACATTTAAACATGATACTTTTTGATTTTTTTTAAAATTCTAAGTTATATTTGTCTTGTCTGTTATTACTGTAATGGTTTAAGAAGTGAAAAAGTGTTATTTTTGAATTGCTGTTTAGATTTGCTTCAGTTTGATATGTTGGATGATGACATTTGTTCAGTTTTTTGTTTTTTTGGTTTGCGATAAAATAGTTTGTGGACGCTGGTGGCAGCCATCTTGGAATTGTGGCAGCCATCTTGAATTTCAAAATGGCCAATATCGACTAATAATTTTTTTTAGTAAGGTTTGATTCAAGATTTTTTAATGAATAAACCACTTATTTTTTTTACATATATAGACACTTATAAACTCCATACTAGATTATATAATGGTGGCCATCTTGGATTCAAATATGGCTGACATCACCTAATTTGCATATTTGCATCACCATGATTCTTATTTGGTTAGATGTTGTATTAATTGTTAATTATTCTGTAAATGTAACAGGAATTTGAATATAAATAGTTACGATTTCAACAATATTACGCATTTTTTGTTCTTAATTTATTCAAAATGGCCGACATCGTGGTCGACCTATGTTTTTTTTTTCGTCATACTTTAGAGTATCGATTGGGCGTGCGTTGTGCCAATTTTCAGCAAGATCGGATATTTTGTCCAGGTATTATGCATTATTATGTGCTTCTGATCCATTGTTAATTCCTGAATTTTGTGCCATTGACCCGTGTGACCTTTCAGTCTATTTTAAATTGCTTGAGACTTTCTCTATAAGAGTCTATATAAAATTTTAGACAAAAAGTACCCCAATTCACCGAACATAAATGTCCATATCTTGGCTTCTAATAAAGATATCTCCAATCTGTAAACAGTTTTATGCTATTTAAATGTAGCTTTATCAAATAGGCTTATTTGTAAATAAATCCATTAATAAATAAATTTTGCATTCATAGCCCTATGAACAGGGTGTTAAACGAAAAGATAAGGGGTGTTTAAGGTCTGCTGATAGCGACACCAATATCTCTGAAATTCCATCTTCCCCTAAAAAGTTAAAATGCATCCTGAGATCCTCATTAGGCAGGGATAAAGTTGTTGAGAGGCGTTCAAAACATGTATTACTTGAATTTCCTATGCTGTCACCCCTAAATACGAAATGATATCTCCCAGAGAGTGACGTAACCAGCTTCCATATTGGCGATTTTCTTTGCCAAAAGTTTTTGATATTTCAATTTTTCAAGAGAGCAGGCCTACTTGTTTTCATCGTTGTGATAATTAGTTGTGCAATGGATTTTATTTAACGGGAGTTGATTACAAACACACAGGTAAGTTTATAATAACCAAAGTTAAGTAGTTTAATTGTTCATAATCGACGAAATCCGTTTAAAATTTATGATGAATCAGACAGTTGTGTATTGTTTATAACACGAGGAGTGATATCTGACCTCAATACAAACTGGGTCCAGGTCACCAATCTGCAACAAAATACGGCTGTCGCCTTTCAATTCAGCAGCCTGCAAAAGTTTTTCAGCATAAGTTTCACATGTGACTAATGCCTCCACATTTCTCTTCAATGTTCTTTTGTCAATAATATTACCTTCCTCTTTTGGCATATAATGCATTCTTCTAGTAATACATGTTTTGAACTCCTCTCAACAACTTTATCCCTGCCTAATGAGGATCTCAGGATGCATTTTAACTTTTTAGGGGAAGATGGAATTTCAGAGATATTGGTGTCGCTATCAGCAGACCTTAAACACGCCTTATCTTTTCGTTTAACACCCTGTTCAATTCGTTTCTTATTTGTGAAACGTTGATATAGAGCAAAGCTCTAAAGCACCGCGCTTCGAGCAAAGCTCTTTTCCGGTAACACAGGAGCGTAATTGAAAAAGTCACCCACAGACTGTTGATTAAAAAAAAATTCAGACAGGAACCGCATACACTGGGCAAAACAGGCAATGCGCATGTCAACTTACCAAATCTCGCCCAAGCGAGATTACGTAACTAACAAAAATAATTCTACACACCAAATCTCGCCCAAGCGAGATTACGCGCCTCATAGAACTATTTCTATGACGCGTCTAATCAATGACGTCATATATTTTTTACGTCAATGAAAATAATTCTCACACCTCTTTGTTCTTTTTTTAAAAACAAAATTAATGTATAAAATTTAGATCTAAATAAAAATCACTTTTGAAAAACAAAATTATTTAACATTTTTTGTATCACTTGAGAAAATTAATTATGAAGGTTTTATATTTTGACAATAATCAGCTTCGCTCTACTCAGGCAATGCCTGTTACATATTAGCAAACTCTGTGAAAACCACTAGTGTCACAGGAAGTAGAATTGAATACACAAGCTATTTCTTTTTCCTTTCCGTCTAGAGAAGCCCACAAAGTCATACACTCACATATCCTTCCCCAGGATACATCAGAAACAGGTAAAATTGGCTCATCTGTGCAGTCAGTGATATGACAACAACATTCAAGCATGGGCGCGGCCATCTTTGTTAGGCTCGGGCTCGACAGTTTTCAGGCCTGATGCTGCCTTCTGATTGGTTAAAATTAAGTGACAAATTGAATGATTGGTTATAATGCCCTGTTTTTCTGCTCCATCTGCTGAAACCGGGGAATAATCTGTCAGACAATTTTGGAGAATGCACAGACAGCGGTGCTATATAAACAGTATGAACAACTAGATGCTGTTTCTTGCCAGGACCTCTGTCCGACAGGGGATCACGTGGCTAAGTGGGTAAGACGCTGGCTCGCTAGCCTGGAGGTCGGGTGTTCGATCCCTGCATTGGCCGAGAAAGTTCATCCAGATTTTCCGGCGTGATTCCCCCTTGTCAGTGATGCAGGACGGAGGGCCTGACAAGGACAGCTGTCTGGCGCACCTTATCGTTCTGGAGTTATCCCCCTTATCTGAAAAACTTGTTAACGCAATAGAGGCTACAATTTTGAACTGTCGCTTCTGGCGCACCTTATCGTTCTGGAGTTATCCCCCTTATCTGAAAAACGTGTTAACGCAATAGAGGCTACAATTTTGAACTGATTTTGTTTTTCAAATGTGGTGGGAAGCACTAGGATCTTTCGATTTTCAGTACTACGCAAACTTCTGTTCGAGAGTTACCCTCTTTGTCCGTATTTCTTTCAAATATGTGACGATGAGAGGACGAACCCTATCGATATTCAGCATCCTGTGACCTTCTGTTCTTTAATATACCCCCTTCCCCAACCGCTCCCTGAAAGCTTTGGGGTCATGAACTTTATTGATATTCAATGGTTAGCCATCTTCCATTCAGGAGTTATACTCTCCATTCTTTGAAAACCTTATTTTTCAGCAATATTTTTTAACTCGAATTCTCGAGAAAATTTACACAGGATGTCAATATCTCAGGAAAATTATCAGGGGATTTCGAGAACATTAAATTGAGATCTCGAGAAAATTACCAGGTGATCACGGGATTTCGAGAAAGTATCACAGGATCGCGAGACCTTCTACAAAATTTTGCATGACCCCAATACGCTTCCGTAGTTTTTTTGTAAAACCAATTTTACGGAAAAATTCGAATTTTTTTTTTTTCTGACAGAAAATTTTTTTCGTCAAAAAAATTTTAGAGAAAAAAAAATCGGAATTTTTTTTTTTTTGGGGGGGGGGGGGACTATTTGACCTTGACCTTCCTTCATCGGCGCTCACTTGGTCCAAAACCGCACACAGAGGACCAGACTCCGGGTTACTTATTTAGGGTGTTTTCCGGTATTTAGTGTTTTTCCGGTCTTTTCCGGTATTCAGTATAAAATGGTGTTTTCCGGTTGTTTTCCGGCGTTTTCCGGTATATAGTATTGCCGACATTATCCGTAATAGCTTAATTGCTAACTTTCATTACCTATCTAAAATTTATAGATATGAGAATACAACCGGGAAACAATATGGCTCTAACAATAAGTTTATTTTTAGCCTAAGTAATGCTGATATTAAGTAGCAGCCCATCATATAATACCACTTTATGTCAAGCTATAGGCATTACTCTTCATTACTTATTGTAAAGTATGTTATTTTGGATGAACGTGTGTTCAGACAAACGTTAATATATAAGTAAAGTTAATAAAATCATAACCCTCTTAAAGACCCGTATGTCAAATACAATGTCTAAGTAGGAATCCTAGTGGAAAAACAATTTTGACCAATCGTTTACTGAACTACTTGCATTCGAACCACTTGTTTAGGATTTATCTGAATAAACACAACCATGAACCATTAATAATTTAGATAACATTTTAGGCACAAAGACCATCAATGGACAGTTTTAGCTCTTGGATAATGTAATAATGTATTTTTAATCAAGCAAATGTTTGCGCAATTAACTGGTTTTCCCAGATCATGTTTATTGTATTCCTCGATCAAATATTAATTTCTACCTATAATACTAATTGGAAAGCTGTTTGTTGAAACATAAAATATAAAAGCACCCGATTAAGACGGGTCCCGCTTATCGTAATAGTAGAGTAGCCCTAAAGCATCCAGTATTTTCAAGCCCAACTTTTCATCGACCCTAGCGGTAAGTTGTTCTTTGTCTAAAATTGGGTTGAAATGTGTTAAAGCTGCATTGTGTACGATTTAGATAGGGAGCTGGTCCTTATAGTTATAATAGTTCAAATATAGATAATGAACAATCAAATTGCATCATTCTGACCGAAGTAATGAGTGTTGGAAACTGTTGCTTAGATTGTTTATTATCGTTTAAGTCTAGCTGGAGTTGATCTAGAGAGTTGATTCTGTTTTAATATATGTCTAAATAATAGCTTACTTAACATTTGAAGCCAATATAAAGACCTACATTAGACATATTTAGCTTTTACATAAAGCATCGGTAATATTGATATAAACGATGAATAGCTTATATTGAGTAGCAAAACATTAATTTCTAGCTCTGTACATCTCTAAATAAATGTATAGGTGGTTTACTTTGCTGGTGTGGAGGGCAATTTCTATAATTGTCGGGATATGTGACATTGTTGACGTAATACATGACGGATCATCTTACAGATTATACTAGTAAAGCATTCATTTCTAGCATTGTGCCCACCCCCCGCCACTTGTTTGCTCTGGGGTGGAGAGGGAGGGAGGGAGCAAATGATTGTATTGGATCCTTTCCAATTTTATTTCATTTGAAATACATAAACTATGCTCCCCCCCCCCCAGTGGCACCGTATGTTATGATCATTTTATCAAATAAGCAAACGGCGTAATTTATTCAATCAATTAATTTATTTAATCAATTAAGATATCAATTATTAATTTCCCTTTGAAATGCTTATTTAAAACCTTTCTGCATGCCGCATTTTATTGGAGCTAAATTGCCATTCTTTGGCACCTAGAAATGGACACAAATGGGTCGTAACGCATATAATAATGTAATGTGAATGTATATAAACTGATTTATGTTCGACGCGAATAGTCTGAATTGAATAACAATCTTTGGCGTCTGGTTGTTCCTTAAAATTTCTATTTTGTCTTCAAAATA